TAATGAAGTAATAAAATAGAATAGAATTAAAAATAGAATTATTTATCATAAACATGTACTCAATGTTTGCATAATATCTAAACTTCAAAAAGCTATAATTTCGAAACTTAGTTAGTCCACTCAATTCTGATTTCACTATCGTATTTAAATCGGCTATATACGTATGTTTTAAAAAAAAAAAAAAATGAAAAATTAGATTTGTTCCACATAATATTCTACTTTTTTTTTTCGCCCTAATTCAATATCAAACCTTTATAAAAACAAATGCTACATTAAACTCAATATTTTTATTTTTTTTACCGCAAAGTAAGACTTAATGAACTCCCTGTAAATTTTCAAGCATTTCTGTTAAGTCTAACAATTCTACCACTAGTACCTATCGAATAAAAATTACATACAAAACTCACAAAATTAAAATGTCTATAAATAACTCAAAACAGTGGCACCAAACTATAGGGACACATCGGGCGACCGCCCAACTAAATTTTTTGATGGTGGGTGAGTGGGTGGTTCTAGTGGTGAAAAATATACATAGTATAAGTGGTATTTGTAGAAAATATAACTATACAAATAGTACTATAAGTTATGAAATATATTACACTCTAAAAAGAGAAGTATAATACAGTATTGCCATGTTTGCCAAAGTATTTTTAAACTATTTCGGCGGCACTAGCTCAAAAATGGCTTGAACTTTTTGAAAATTTTACCATGTCTAGAAAAGGAAAATTTTTTTTTCGAATTTCAAGACCATAGATTCGATACGAATATTTTTAAATGAATTACAACCCCTTAAAAATATTGATAAAATAATAAAAGCATTAATTTCGTACATTTCCCGTTTTTCTTACGTTTTATCCTGCTTTTTCCCAGATATTATGAAAACCACTTGGAAAATCAAAAAATTACCTCATTAAAGTACCATCTAGACAACATACCCTTTCAGAAGTAGTGCCGCGCGTATGTACCGGAACAAGATTTCTAGTCGAATTTTTATACACATTATAAAAAAAAAAAATAATAAACATCTTAGTAAAATCAATACATTCTTCGCTCTACTCAGAATCTAAAAATCCTAACGATAGTCGATTTTTACTGTAGGTAATCTCGTGCTTTGTCCAATCAATGTAGGAAAAATTGTCTCACTTAAATTATCATTTTTACACTATCCACAATGTTTGGGCATACATACACGGTGCACAGTTTCCTACTTAGACTTTTACATATTATACATTATTGTTTATTTTGTAAACTATTGTATAACACCGAAATTTATTAAACAAAACAAAGTATAATACTATATGAAATCGATGTAGAAAGCTTTCTACTCGCGTTAAATGTTATATATTATATATGTACATAAATTTAATAAAGAAAAATTAATATTCTAAGATTTATTTTGACAACTCCCACGTATACATATTACACGGTACATGTTTCGAACATTCCTTTATACCCGACAAAATCCATAAGCCCAGCAGTTAGGAAACCTAATCCTACAATATGTAAATGCACATATACTGTAGCTGTACACAAAGTTTTACCGGGAAATAATACTATATAACTATTAATTCTAAACAATATATATTATTTTAAAACAAATCCGGTAAATATAATATTATTATACACCTCAGTGACATTGACACGCACTCGACAAAGTTTATAGCACAAAAAAAAAAAAAAAAAATACGCATTTGAAAGATTATTCGCTGTTTATATCTATGGTATATACAAATAGGATATAAATATATAATATTATTAATTAACAACATCCATAGTTTATAATAATATTAAATATTACAGGGTTCGATCATTTGAGTTGGACAACGTTAAAAAGTAGTTTTTTTTTTTCCCAATAGAACCGCTAAAATATAATCCGCACTGTTTATAGTTATACTGTAGTGATAGTGGTTAATGGATATCATCGAGGTAGTAATTATCACAGAGATCTATATGATGATATACCAAATGATCCATTTGATTGGGTACACTCATTAACTTGGAAAGTCTTTAATTTTACAGAAATTTGTTTACTAGAACTTTTAATAAACAAGCAGGTCTACAATTAATAGATGAAGTATTAGTTAACTCCAACTATTAGTACTCCACTACTCTCCTCCAACCCAACCTTAAAAGTAGAATATCTTTTCAACAGATCGATGGAAATAAAAAATGTCAATACTAAAATTTATTTTAACTAATACTCCATTTATTTATGGAATTTTTAATATAGGTTTTCATTTTAAAATCAAAAGCATGCAGTGGTTTCACCCTCAAAAATAAGGGTGACAAAAAATAACAGATTATTAAATAGAGCAGCTTGCTTCTTAAATTTTCTAGAAAACGAATTCTGGAAAAATGTAATACTTTCCGAGATAATGAATGTGCCCACTTAAATGGATCACCTGGTAGGAAATCGAGTAGACCCGAGAGTACAATGAAGTTACACGACAATGGTTCATGATAGTAACTACCGCGGTTGAAAATTCCGCCCTATCACGATAAGGACAGGCTGAAACCTGGGATGAATCCCAAGCAAGCTAATATAATTCCTATCCCAGAAATTCTATTAATTTATTCGTTTAAAAAATAATTTGAAATTTTTAGCAAGATACTTTTATTACTTATTGAACCAGTCAAATAATTGTATTTACTAATAATTATTTAATTTCTGTGTAGGTATTTAGTGTCAAAATTTAATAAGATAATTTTAAAACAATTTTATTTATAAATAGTGAAACCTAATTTCTTTGTATACAAATTGCTATTACGCTATTTACAATAAGAATAATATAGAGACAATTAAAATTAGAAGTAGTTAATGATATTTTAAATGTTGATCTCTACTCCCTGTAAGCGTCGCTTATAATGTGAGTAGGGAGTCTAGTTATATAACTTTTCAGTATTTAATTAATCCATTATACATTATAAATCTAATTAATGATTAATATACGATTATAGTTAGTATAAAATATAATTAGAATTTAATTTAAATCTATCTATACAATTTGTTAAGTTATAAATAGGGCTACTAGTGAAATAGCCGTGCATACCATCTCTTGATTTCCATCTTAAATTGTTGTTTGTTGTTAATTAGTTTCATTCCGTAGTAAATCGTTAAATAGTTTAATTTCTCTATATAAAATAATATATATATATATATAAAACATTTTTATTAAGTTTGTGTTAGGCTTAAATAATTTTAAGTTGCCATTATCTGTACTTCGTGTGATTTTTTTGTTTTAAGATTTATATTGTTTTTTTGTAGCATGCATATTTTAGTGGTAATTTAATCATACAATTGGTCTATAGTTAATATTTTTAGGATTTTAAACAGTTCATTAATATTACTACCTTCATTATAATTTTGATTCCATACTATTCTTACTATTATTATATGTACAACATTTAGTGGTTCTAGAGCATTCTTATAAGCAGAACACCATACTATAATATTATATGTTAATACTGATTGTTAATAGCAAAATAAACCATTTTAATATTATTAATGTTAAGTATATTACGTAGTTAATTTAATATAAAAACATTTTCTTATACGCGTTATTTTAGTCTGTAATTGGGATATCCATTTTAGGTGCTCATCGAATGTTACTCCCAAATATTTAGTTGATTCAACTCTATTTAATTTTCGACAATTTTTTCTGTAGTATTCAGATTCTTTATTTTTATCGTATAGGTTAGAATGTAATTGTGTTTCGATGTTAATGTTATTTTCGATGTTATTAATAACATCGAAACACAATTACATTCTAAAATAAATCAAACTTACTTAAGTAAGTTTGATTTATTTTACGAGAAAAGGGAAAAATATTAATTTTTGATAATTTAGTTATAGTTTTTTTTTGTTTATCAATCATACGCATTTACCAATATTAAATTTGCTCTAGTTTCTATCTTGTTCCAATTATCACCTTCAATAAAAAAAACTGTATCATCAGCGAAAGCTATTATATTTGCACATGTGTTTAGTTCTAATAGTTAATTTACATATATCGAGAATATTATGGGATCTAAGACAGTTCCTTGTGGGATGTCCTACTTTAAATTATTTAGATCACTTGTTAATTTATTGATTTTTACTATCTGTGGTGTATTATGAAGATATGATTTGAATCAACTACTAAATGTGTTTTTTCCTATAATTCTTTCCAGTTTACTTAATAGTAACTCATGAGATATTGAATCGAAAGCTTTTACTACATTAAGAAAAATACTTTGTGTTTTTACTAACTATGAATTTTTCGTAATTGAATTTTCGCTAATTTTTCGAATACTTTAGATATTGCTAAAATTAGTGAAATTGGTCTGTAATTAATAAGTTCTTTTGAATCTCCTGATTTAGATAGATACATTGGAGTTACGTATGCCTGTTTGTATACATCAGGAAAAGTACCTTTTTGAAAACTTAATTTAGCTAAATAAGTAATTTGTTTAATTATATATTTTGCTATTTGTACCAGTAGATTTTATGCGATTCCATCAAAACCTGGTGATGTACCTTTATGTTATTTTGTAATCACATTCATTACTTCCATTTCAGTATCGCTTTTATAATCTAATTTATATTCATTTATGTAATTATTTTTTTCAGTATTATTTATGAATTTTTTTTTATCATACTTTAATCTTTTTGTATTGATTCTGTGATATTCTTACCAACATTTATAAAATTATGATTGATCGTATTCGAAAACAAATTTTGCATTATTATTTATATCAATAATATCGCTATTAAAATTAATTATCGAGGATTATTATCCATATAGTAGTGGTAACAACAGTTTTATTGTTTTCTGTTAAGTATATCCATAATTGTGTTCGAGGCTTGTATATTACCGATATTACTCTTTTAATTTTTGTTTTATAATATTCATTTTTTGCCAGTCTTATTATTAATATAAAACATAGTTTATTCTTATAATTTTTCGTTTATATAGTATCTAGTTGATGGCCAATTTTCACGAACTTGATTGGTTGTAATTTTATTTTTCTTGCTTATTTCTAATAATTCTTTCTTTGCTTGTTTCCATAATTGTTAACCAAGCTATCAACTTGATACCTGTATTTTGATGTGTTGATAATTGATATGCTTTTTTCACGTCACATTTTATATTAAGTTTATGCGATATTTCTTCGACTATAGTTTTGCCATCTTCATTTGAAGATATTGGTATACTTATTATTTCAACAGCTTTGTCTAGGGTTGTGTGATCTAAATCATTGATTTTAAGATGCAGTATTTGAGCTTCTGTTGATAGTTTTTCGTTTTTCACGTACAGTATTTTATTTTGTTCCCTAATTTGTTTCATCTTATTCAAAATTTTGCTTACTGTAAAATTTAATAATTCGAATTTGTCACTCATGTACTGTACTAATGTCGCTAAACTTTCTAATTTAACTTTTTCTTTATTTGAATCATAGATATCTAATTTTTGGTTCCATTTAATTTTGCTTTCATTGCACGTCCATTTGCTTTGGGTGTTTTGACATTTTTTAAAATGTATTTTCATTTAATCTTTGACAATAGTAATGTTTTCCAATTTTTCAATCGGATCATATTATTTCATCATCTTTTAAAATATTTTCTACGCATTTCTGAAATCTATATTCATATAACTATAAACACGCACTTATCGCTAAATTGTATCGTTGTATACGACCCGGTTTAATCAGTGCGTTATACAACCTTACTCGTCTAGTTAGGCTGATTGACTGTATAGACTTATATAAAAATATATATGTTTTGTCCTCAAACGGCAGAGAATGTAGAACAAATGTACCTTATAGTGAGCACCACAATGGACAGCTGCTCGGCCAATCGTGGAAAATAAGATAAATAAAATAAGGACTCAGGTTAGAAGATGAAAAAAAAAAGAAGCGGCAACTTAGACTGGAATGTAAACAGGATGAGAATAAATAGATAAGCAGCAAGTAGAACTATTGTTATAAAGTATTGAAGTTATATTAACTGTAGGTTTAAATATAAAACAGAAATAAAATGAAAGTTATCACCTGTAGTTGTTATTACAACGTGATTTTAATGGGGAATTATTGAAGAGCGATAAAATTATGTTATTAACACAACTAAATCGTCAAAAAGTCACTACAAACAGTGGAGGTACCTGCCGTTGATTATTAATAATAACATTGATTTTTTGATTTTCTTTAGTTGGAATGTTTTACTCGAAATCGTTGTTTTCAGCTGTCTATTCCCCTTTGTCGAGCTTAGAGCGTTCATCGATTTCCGAGATCAAAATATGTGACTCAAAGACCAAAAGAATTACACAGGAATTTCAGTCAATTGATTTAACAGATTTTACTTACAATTTTAAACATGGTATCCTTTCCTTACATATTACAGTTTATTATCCTTACAGTTTTATTTCATTAGTTTTGTAGTTTTAGAGAAACAATATTATTATCTCCTTAAGTTTAATTATAATGTATAGATTGGCATATCCACTATGGTTGTTTTAATCGGAGGAGGAAATATTCTCTAGTGAAATTTACGAGGAATCGACAATTTATAATTATCGGCTTAAAGGATTGCGTAGACGTCATCAAGAAAATTTCACAAAATTCAGGTTGTGGGTGGCGAGCAGGTGTGGTTTGGCCCATTAGTAGCCCATAAATCGGACTTGTCATTGACAACAGTACTACTGCTGAAGACGGGATTTTAATAAAACGGAGTGTCATTTTTATTTCGGTCGGTACTTAATATCGACAGATGCCAGTCTTTTTGTTATGGAATCTTGTATCATTCGATTGTTAATCGGTGTACAGTCTTCTGCTTTTCGTCCTGCGTCTAAATTTTCGGACATCCCTCCATTGTAATGTTAACATAATATTTATTAACATCTATACATACTTAAGAAAAAAGACCAACATTTCGCGGAAAAATAAATCTCGATTTGCGAATTAAAACCGATCGCAGTAGTATTATCGGAACTCGTAAATAGAAAAAAAAAATCCACGAGTGCTAATTATTCGCAAACAAAACTTTACTGCTGATATGATTATTAAGGTTTAACGTTCGTTAGATAGTATTAGCGAGGCACGTGATTAATAAAGGCAATCACCTCAGGAATATTCAATATAAATAAAGAAAAAAAAAAAACACGAGCAACAGAGGTCCGTCGCTAAAGTAGAATTTTCCCACAGCTGGCGGTTTACTTTTATATATCCATGAGTTTTTATTTTTTTATTATGATAATGAATTGAATAAAAAAAGTTTCAATCAAAATAGGTAAATTATTTCTTGAGATTTTTTTCTAACATACAAACGGTGGGTCGAGGGTTGGAAGTTCAAACTTTTTAAATGCATATCCTTGACAACAATTCTATTTATATACATTTGGATCAAGTTACTTATTTTCATGAGTTCATAAGGGTATTAAAAATTCAATATTTCTTGTGAAAACATGAAATCTGAGCAGGGGTTGAAGTTGAAGCCACCAAGAAGCATATCCTTGATATTTACATTATTTGTGTACAAAATGTCAACCCCTAGCTTCATTTCAATTCCCCTGTTTCCTTTATGTTTACTCGACGTGAGTTTTCAACGAATAAATTTTATGATTTTTAGCGTACTAGTTATAATAAGTAATAACTATTTGTAAATATGCAAATATTTACAAATATTTATATACGTAATATTTAAATATTTGCAAACACAATATAACTTATTTTAAAAAAATGAAGCTAACATTTTCGAATGGACTGACCCATGGTGTAGATCCTCGTTGATATTATAAATGTATGTTAACCTACATATAATCTACAGTCTTTAGAAGCCTTAATCCGACTATGAGAAGTTATAAGTTATAAATTCGTATTGCTGTGCTTAGCTGTTTCAAACTTTTGTTTATTAAGTCAGATAATATTTAATAAGTATATTACGACTACTTTTAGTTGATTGATATTACGCTTGCAGTAATTCCGATAAAGTCGTTACCACCGACCTGGTCAAACCTATTTTTCTTCGTAGGAGGAAACCTATGTATACACTCGTATAAACATCAGCTGTCCAAACTGCATATTAAGTGCGTTTAATTTTTAACAAATATTTTTTGCACTGCTAAATCATTTTAAAAATAGAGTTGCGTATACTTTATTTAGATCAAAATTGCGTCAAGTATTTGACACAAATTTGATTGTCAACATTTTCATCCTTAGAAATAAAAGTACACCTCAAAATAAACAAGGAAACGTCAGTTATATATAAAGTGGTTACTCAAATCAACTCTTAGATTATGCAAAAGTGATTTTTTTTATATATATATACATATATATAATATTGTCACTACTTATACGAAAGTAAAGAATATACAATAAAAATAGGTACATTGATTTTATCGGCACTAAAATGTCGACAATTTCGTAGGTGGTTTTATATTTATGAATTTGTTTACAGTTGTAAGTTAATTTTTAAATATTCTAAATACAACTAAATACAATACGGTGTCTCGGCTGTATTGATTTTACATTTATGTGATTTTTTTTTTGTTGTTGTTCATATTCGCTATTTGGATATAAGGGTGTAATGTTCCAAAAGTTTCTTGTAGCCCACGATACTATCGATTAGAAATTGGACACAGATGGTATCTAAAATAGATGATTGCAGAGGTCATTATTATAATTTCCCAATAGTTTTCGAACGGATAACACATACACACAGTAATCGTAATGTAACGGCGAGGCGGTTCAGTCGTTTTTTGTTGAACATTCTAAACAAGTTACATTTTTTACAATATTAAAATAATATTATTCAATACTTTTTTTTTTTGTATTACCACGTAAACTAAAACCTAATTTACAAGACAACCGTTTCTATGGACACAGAAACAACGTCCATACAATAGCATAGAGCTTTAATGGTAGACGGAATAATAGTAGAGTAGTCATTTCTGATAGAAACATCTACGTATAAAAGTCAGTATTTGTTCACACGTTAATAGTTACTATCACTCTTATAGTCTCGTGATAGTGACTATCAATATAGTGACGATAATCGTCTGTATTAAGCTTAATAATATTACTTTAATTTCGGTATTTCGTATAATTTGCACCAAACTATTCGTTAGATAAAACTTGGAACATTCAAATAAAAAATGAACAGGAAATCTCTGTTGTTTGAGTACAATTCTCCCCCATCTACTGTGTTTAGTAGAGATATTCTTGACAAAACAATAATCAACTAAATATTATAATACAATATATAAGACTGTTTTGATTGCTTGCTACATATTTGTTCAGCCTTAAAATCAAATTATGCAATTAATAAGGATTTTAAGTTTTCTAGACAATATACTCACTCATAATTAATTATTTTTTAAAAGATTTGGCAATATTTAAAATTTGAGAAATGAGACAGTCATTTTCTAACCTAACCTTTGATTTATCACCCTTTTTATACATAGGAGTTATTACTGATATTTTAAAACTGCCAGGAAAAATAGACCTGAGGTGGCTATATTAAAGATGTGTGAAAGTGGTCTTACTAATAAATTAATAATTGATTTAAGAGAACGTTATACCCGTATCTACTACTTCAGACCAACTACTGGGTAACATGTAAAAATATAATGCTTAAACAGAGTAAGTAAAACTAGTTTAATTTTGATTTCAGAGTAAAAAGTACCTATTTTAGAATTTAATCCAGAGGGAGTTGTTAGAAATATCCAAAATTTGTGGAGAAAAGATACAACAGGCACAATATAGTGAAGTATTCTTTATCTCTAAGAGAAATTAGACAAAAATTACATTATGGGTAGTATACATTTTTTTCCGTTATATTTTAGTGCAGTAACTATACAATAAACCTGTACATAGAGTTCTTTAATTAAGAGTTTGCATTGTTTCAAAAACATTACAATTATACATATATTATTGAAACCTTTAAATTAAAAAACTAATAATAATAAGTGCATATGAGTTTTTTTTTTTAAACACCCTGTTTTTATGTTTTTATTATATTAAATTTTTTTTTTAAACGTCCAATTTTTTCTACGGCCTCAGAATATTTTGATATAGAGCCATTTTTGAATTGGTCATTATATCTCTATAAACTCGTCAAAACGAATTCGTGTAAAACTCGTTTTAGTCGATATACGTATGTGTATAATGTACGTGCATGTGTAGCTTCCTCAGTATATTTTATTTATTTGCAAGGTATTAAATACAATATATAATTGTTATTCCGTGGGGGTTCGCAAAATTAGAAATAAGATTATAAATACTATAGATACGTATTCGGTGGTGGTTGGAGGATTCTTATAAGTCGTCTGGGGAAAGAAAACTGCCATTGACCGGTCACTATGTATACTTATCCGACCGGATACGAAAATTGTCTTTCGGTCCAGTTAAGAAATATATAATATATAAGTAATAATAATATCGAAAGGAACATAAAACTGATTAAAACCGAAAAGCCAAGAGGGATGAGTGCAAATATGGAGGAAATGTGTACTATAGAATAAGTATTAAAAACCATAAATGAAAAATAATAGCA